CCAAGGCACACGCAATAGGTGCCACTTTCTTGCTGCTCCGTCTTGTCATTTCTCCACTTCTGCTTCCATCACAACCGTATGCCTCTCTTTACGGGAACTGCAGACGTTGCAGTCTTTTTCACATTTCAAGAATGACAGGATTAATGTTTGTAAAATGCCTTCAGCTTGTTCTGGACCAGTGCCCCTGAACAGTCATGGCTGCCCTCTCCATCTGCGATGCTGTTACGGGTGGAAGGGAGGGGTGCCCCGCTTTGTACTAGATATGGGCCTGTTAGTGTCCGTGAGCTTTTTAGGGAGGAGCAGTCAAGGAGGAGATGTTCCAACCAGGGTCCCTATCCACCTACACTCATAGAAACACGCAGGTGAGACTGTAGGTGGATGCATTTCTAATCCAGCCACACGCAAAGCTGCATGAACACCCGGGCATTAACAGGTACCCCAAGCTCACAAGAGGGACACACTGAGGGGTGTAAGTACCCTAGATGAAATGGCATAATAATAAGAGCTTCCTGGCTAAGCTCCTTTACGGGGTCAGACACTCCAGAGACATTGTTTCTGGTGGTCCCAGTATCTGAGAGACACCCCTGTCTACAGCTGCCAAGACCCACAGGGCCAGCACTTAGGAAGGCTGCTCAGCTGACAGACTCCTCACCTGCACTCTGCAAAGGTGTTCAACTGCTGCTGTGACCCAGCTGGCCTAGCCCAGCTCCCCATCTGTGTTCCTCTAGGCTGCCCCACTTGTGTTTCCCTCACACAGTGGTAACTTGGGGACCTGTTGTGGCTGGCACCACCTCAGAGTCCTTGCTGTTCTGCAGTCAAAGTCTACTGGCTCTACCTTGCAGCTGAAGAAGGAGGACTCTTAGGGAGCTGCCATGTCCCAGGTCACATAGCTAGTAAGTGGCAAAGTGGGATTTAAAGCCAAGTCTAGGTGATTTGGGAGCCCTGGGTGTTTCCTCTGGGATGTACCATTTCCACCCCCGCCTCCTGCTGCCTGCAACCTGGCTGTGACGCACAGTGAAGGTGCCCACCTCGCTGGCTGGAATGGGCTCTGTTGGCAGGATTTGGGCAGGCACTGGGGCTGTCTGGGGACTGTGTCCCTCCCTCCTCAGCCATCCTCATTCAGAAGTCCCTGCTAGCAGACATCCAAGCTGCCCTACCTGTCCTCAGCATGGCCTCGATCTCCTGGAAGGATGGGGCTCTGACTCCTGTCAGCTCGGACAGCTTTATTAATGCTGCAGAGCCTGCCAATGTCTTTGCCTTAAGTACTCCTCAATTCTTAAAATTCAAACTACACTGTATGTGTGGCCCCTGGGCTGACTGTTTTCCTATGATAAGCCTGTGCTGCCCTCCCAGGGCTTTCCACAGGAGCTTGCTCGAGCCCGGGCTACTTCTCAGTCCTGCAGGTGCCCTGGTGTGAGAGAGCGAGGGCCGGGGTGAGCAGCTAAGAAATGGCTGCGGCCTTCCAACAGACCCTGGAGCCATTGTCCCCAAACCCATATCATCCTTATGTCTCAGCTCCAAGCAGTGGCTTCGAAAGGGTAGACTGTGGTACACTGGTCAGTTGAGAAGCGTTGTGAAGAAAGGCCTCTGTGGTCAGTTACGTGTGGGCACCCTGCCTGTTGTAGCTCCTTCTGGAAAAGATTCACCCTCAAGTGAGCATATTAAAGGTCCTGAGAAGTCCTGCACTGAAGGAATCTGTGTATTCACAAAGCCTTTTCCAAACATATTGGGCCACAAAACATTTTTCAGCTTTACATCCTGCTGATGCACTTTGGGCTGAGACACGTCCGAAGGTATCGCAATGCCTCCCTCTGCTCCAATATCCTTTCCTCTTGCCTTTCCCACAGCCCCTCACTGGCTCCAGCCATGCCATTTGCTAGCCACATACATTTATTTATTTATTTATTTTGTTAGTCAAATCAAGGATATTACCATGTACCTCATCCTTGATAGAGAATTTTACATTCTTGGGTTTATTAAGGGTTTTTTCCCTTCAGCCTCATCCTTTTTTTTTTTCTTTGAGCGGTTTTTCACTATAGGGTGTGTGCATTCACCGGAAAGACAGAGAGAGAGAGAGAGACAGAAAGCGAGAAATCACCCCCTAGCGGGGGATGGCCACACCGCAATCCCTTCTCCTCCATTCTCCTCTCGGGATCTTGGGCACGCACGCACACGCACCTTGCGTGAGTTTAAGCCACCGGGTCTGGGACTCAAACCATGGTCGACTACATGGGAGTCCATTGACATAGCCATTATGCTAACTGCTGGTCCCCCTTCAGCCTCATCTTGATGTCTACATCTTGTTGTCTTTGTTCAGGCTATTCCCTGGAAGACCCTGCTCCCTACTCCGTCTTTCTCACGTCTGCATCTCTGCTCAGCCCAAAGGCCTCCAGCCTGTACAAAGCCTCTTCCCTCACGATCCATCTCCCTTACCTGGGTGGCCCCTTAGCATGAGGCTTGCTTGTGCTTCCACAGCCCATGGTGGGGTCCTGAGGAGGCCACCTCATGGAGTGGGAAACACTTGAACAGAGTGTGATGCAGTGTGATGGGAGCAGTGGTAGTGCGGGGGCACAGGAAGGTGGGAGCTGAGCAGCTGCCCCTCCCCCAGCCAGGAGAGGCATCTAGGAAATTCTACTGCTGGATCTGCTCTCAGGAGGAAGAGGAGGAGGGAGCCAGATACAATGAAGGGAGAAGCGAAGGGCCTCTTGTGGGCAAAGTCATGGAGCACTGGCTCTCACCCGGGATGTTTAACCCTGCAGGGGACATGGGGTTACTCAGTCTGAGTTACTCAGAGTTGGCACGTTTTGGGAGGGAGTGCACTAGCATCTAATGAGGGGAGGGTAGGGGTGCTAAGCACCCTACAATGCACATGACAGCTTCTCTCCACTAAGTGTTATCTGGTGACAAAATGAATAGTGCTGGGGCCAGCAGGAGGCATGGTGGTTAAGGGCACTGGACTCCCACATGGTCGACCACAGTTTGAGTCCCAGACCTGGTGGCTTGCTTCCTCACTTTCTCTCTCTCTCTCTCTCTCTCGCTCTCTCGCTCTCTTGCTCTCGCTCTCACTCTGACCCTCTCTGGCCAAATTAAAACAAATAAATGAATAAATAAATAAAGTTAAATAAAACAATTCTTTAAGAAAAATGAATAGTGCCAAGTCTAAGAAACTTTGAGACAACGACAGGAAAAGGCATGGGAGGTCAGTGGAAAGGCAGGAGGAAGGCCCTCTGGCTGCAACACCTGGGAAAGCGTGTTGAGGAGGTAGCAATGGGGACCTCCAGGACTTTGAACGTCATTTGCATTTTAGGATGACTCCTCTGGTACATGGAGGTACAGAAAGGGGGACGAGGCGGGACTGTAAGCAAGAGATTGCCTAGGGAGCTGCCACAGAAACCATGGGGATGACAGTGACCCCAGCTGGGGTGGCAGCCATGGGGAAGGGGAAGAACAAGAACTTTGAGAAATGCTAGAAGAATGCTCTCAGGTGTGAAGGAGAGAGGGCACGAAGAGTCCCAAGTGAC